CAAGGCTGCAGCTTCTCCCCTGCCGGGCCTTTAACAAGTCACGCCCATGCTCCAGATGCAGTGAGGCAGGCAGATTGAGCTCTGACGCCTGGGCCCCCTAGCATCACCCGAGTGGGGCTCAAGCAGAGAAGTCCGGTAAGGAGCTACGGGGCAGGTGACAGCAGAGCAGAGGCTCTGGAGAGGGGTCAGATAGGGAGCACGTTGCAAACCAATCCCCCGCCCCCACACCTGGGGTCATCAGCCTGTGGAACTCCTCGCCACAAGATATCTGCGAGGCCAAGAGTTTTACAAGGTTAATTAATAAAAGGACTGGCCATTTTGCTGGCCAAAAAGGGCTCAAAGTCTGCCGGTTTGCTATCGGAGGAACTGACAGATCCCTGTTCTGATCCCCTCTGGCACGTCCCACTCCCCTACAAACACTGCCAGGTATTTCCCAGCTGAGCTCAGCCTGCCGGCCACCTCGCTCACTTTCTCCAGAGGTCTCTGCTCTCATCGGCATCGATCCGGGTTCACCAGGGTAGGGTCAGAGTCACCAGGTGAGCTCTAGATCTGGTTCCAGGCAAAGGAGGTGACAAGGGCGGCTCTGGGGCAGCTTAATCTTGCCCTCATGTTTCAAAATTAAACCGAGGAGGTTAAATTTGGGAGGGGGCAGGGCAGATGTCTCAGGAAACAACAGGGCGGGGAGAGGAAGGCAGAGCAGCAAGATGCAGGCACAGACAAGGGCTGGGCTGTGTAACTGTTGAGCATGAGCAATGCCCCAATAGCGGCAGATTGTCAGCTCCGAGCACTGCTGTCGCGTTCATCTTTAAACGACAGGCACGGCCCCCGAGACAGCTGCATAGAATGCTGCCAGCAGCCCCAGGATCTATGAGACTCCGGGGGCTGCATCTTTCACTCACTTAGCTCTCCATCTCGGGCAGCAGCGTGGGCTAGTGGTTAGAGCTAGTGGTTAGGCTCAGGAGACTGCCGCAGGCCAGTCGCTTCCACATCGGTACCATGGGGAGACGGGGGCACAGCTCCGCAGCTGGATAGTACTAGATAAGAACAAGGGCTAAATATTATGTGGTGATGCAGCAGGGTGAGTCACACACACCATGCTCTCCTTGTTATTGTTACCCTTCCAGTGAAATTAAAATCTAAGTCACTCCCTGCCCTCCATTTCCTATGGCTCAAAAATAAAGGAACATGAAAATGACCACACTGGGTCAACCCAAAGGTCCATCTAGCCCAGTGTCCTGTCTGCCGACAGTAACCAATGCCAGATACCCCAGAGGGAATTCCTCCCCTGTTGCCCATTCCCAGCTTCTGACAAACAGAGGCCAGGGACACGATCCCAGCCTGTCCTGGCTAATAAGTAGCGATGGACCTACCCACCATGAATTTATCTAGCTCCATTGGAACCCTGTTAAAGTCCCGATCTTCCTAACATCCCCTGGCAAGGAGTTCCACAGGTCAACTTTGCATTGGGTGAAGAACTTCCTTTTTGTTTGGCTTAAACCTGCTGCCTATCCATTTCATTTGGTGACCTCTAGTCCTGCTGTTCTGGGCACAAACAAATAACTCTTCTTTATTCACTTTCTCCACCCCTGCCATGGTATTACAGACCTCTATCCTATCCCCCCTTCGTCTCTTCTTTTCGAAGCTGAAAAGTCCCAGTCTTATTAATCTCTCCTCATAGGAAGGCCATTCCAAACCCCTCATCATTTTGGTTGCCCTTTTTTGAAGTTTTTCCAGTGCCAAGAGATCTTTTTTTAGATGAGGCGACCACATCAGAGACCATCGGGTTCCTCCGGCTTGCTTATACTTAGCTTATAGCTGCTACCGCTGTGTATGGAGGGAGGGGGAGAAACCCCAACAACCTGAGACTTTTCCATTGCCCTTCATTTCAATTCCGATCCCTATGCAGGGAGACACGCTCTCAGCATTGTGTCTCCACCGTGCCAATCAACGGGTTTCTAGTAGGAAATTGCTGGCATGGAAAAAAATTATATATATTTCCACTGACCTCAGCTCAGGCTTAATGCATTGCCCCAGGTTGGTTATCTGAGTGGAACAGGTTTTTGTTGTGATGGAATAATGGACGTTGTCAGACATCCGTCGGCCCAGCTCCATGGAGTTGCAACAAGCAGGCTACAGGCAATGCTGTCCTCTAAAAGACAGAAGAAAAGCCCCTCAGTGGCATGTGTCATAGACCCTGTACTGCTAATAGGGAGTGAAGAGTCACCTCTAGCTCTGAGGGAGTGGCAGGAGGCTTTGAGTTCCATCACTACTCCTGTCACAAAGTCCCAAGGGGCCACAGACTTGAAAGCATAGGTTTTCATTTTGCAAGACCTCTTTTTGTTCCCAATTTGATCTCATTGGGCCCAGGCTGGGGGGGCAGGGGGAGGGAGGGGAGAGGAGGCATTTTG